CCCTGTACGGCCTCCCATTGCTGCTGTCTCCATCGCCACACTCTGCCATGTGCCACTTTCAGGTCTCCTCACACTGCTGGTGGGTTCCATTTTGTCATAGGGTGCTGTATGGCCTCCCATTGCTGCTGCCTCCACCGCCACACTGTGGCTCCACACTCTGGTTTTGGCCCGTGACTGCCCAAATGAGTGAAGTGTGCGGTGATTCTAAGATCGACGGCACTCATCTGCATGTCATACTGACTGACAGTATTATTTCTCTTCCCCAGCAGACTCCAAGGGCATTTAAATTAAAGGTACAGTGTTCTGCACTAATATAAAGGCTCTCTGAAGCCTAGAAACACCCTTTTTATAAGTTAAATTCGCAGCGAATATATTCGGCTCGAAGCGAATTTATTCCGCGAATTCGGCGAATCAGCCGAACCGAATTTTTGAATAATTCGCTCATCTCTAGTTATATTCTTTGTAATGTTTAAACAATGATTGCGTTCCTTCATTTTTATACCTAATCAAAGCTCTTTTCTTTTTATCTATAGCTTTTTTAACTTTGGCCGTAAGCCACATAGGTTTGATTTTTATCCTTTTAAACTTGTTACCCATGGGAATTTATTTTGTAGTGTGTTCACATGCAGTTTTTTGAAGAACTCCCATTTCTGCGTTGTGTTCATTGATGCCAATGTCTTGGAGAGCAGCTCTCAACCTTGGAAAATTAGCTCTTAAAATTGAGCATTTTTTATTTTTCCCGTATGTGCTCGCTGTTTACAGCTAACAATAAATAAAATCATGTTATGGTCACTGCTATCCAGATGTTCTTTTATATGAACATTTGTAATAAGCTCTGCATGGTGTGAGATTACCAGGTCCAGCAGAGCATCTTTCCTAGTTGGGGCCTCTATAAATTGTCCTGTAATAGGTTTAAAAATGTTTGCCCTTTAACTGTTACTGCAGTATCAATACTCCAGTCAATTTCCGGGTAGTTAAAATCCCCCATTATTACTGTCACAGCTATTGCAGCCCTTTTCTATCTGTGCAAGGAGCTGAGTCTCCACCTCTTCATTAACACTGGGAGACCTATAACAAACTCCAATGATTACCTTTGAAGTACACTTGTGGTCAGGGGCGGACTGACAACTCATGGGGCCCTCGGGCAATAGGGGATCATGGGGCCCCTGTGTCCTTGCCCAAACTAAAAAAAAGCCTATGAAAAAGGTACCAGGGGCATCTCATGGGGCCCCCTACTCACCCTGGGCCCTTGGGCAGTGCCCGAGTTTCCAAATGGTCAGTCCGCCCCTGCTTGTGGCACATGTTTTTTAAAGCATGACATGTTTGATGTCTACTCAGCATAAAATCAGCTTTCATATTTTACCAAACTATATGGGTACTATATTGTGTTTTTGCACAATAAAATGAAAGTGTATTTTTCAGAAAAAAAATTTCCATTTGAAAAACAGCTGCGCAAATAACGCTTGACATAAAAATAAGCAACACCCACCGTTATATTCTCTAGAGTTTCTTCTTAAAAAAATATATAATGCTTGGGGGTTCTAAGTAGTTTCTAGCAAAAAAAATTCTGATTTTTACAGGTAGGAGCGGAATGTCAGAATTTGCCCAGACTGGAAATGGTTGATGTCATATATCTTAAGTTGAGAAGATCCTGCAGCAGTTAACTTGATAAAAAAAATTTTTATTTTTCTGGTGTCCAAAATTATGTGCTGAAAAAAGGTAGATGGAAAATGATTTCATGAGTGCTTATAAACATGGACTGTACATTGGTCGGATAGATATTAGCACTATAAACCAAATGTTATAACACATTATAGTTTTTGAGATTAAACACTCTGCAGATGCCTTCTGCGGGATTACTAGACAGGAAGTTAGTTGTGTATAACAAAAGATTCTTTCCTTGTCAACATTTTATCTCATTTATTGCCAGTTCTGACAAACACATTCATAAATGATATTCAACACTCTTTTATAGGCTTCTTCTTGTGTTTTAGGTTCAGTGGCCCTTTAACTGTATTAGATTTTTAAATCCATTTAGATCTGATATCTGTATCAAGCTTTAGTTGATGTGCTGTCATTGACCCCTTCAAATCTGTTCAATATATTATACAGTATGTCAATATAATATAAAACAAACAGAATACAGAGCACTGTCTCTGCAAAGAAAAATGTGAATGTAATTTAGAAACCATAAAAGGATTTATTTTGTATCTAGAGAATTCTTTTGTGTGTGCAGTATTTCATAATGTCTGCTGATCTCTTCCAAGTTTTGTCAGTGTGTAGCAATATTCTATTAAACACTGCAGTAGGATTCTAAATACACTGATATGTCATCGGTTGTTTTTCTAGGCTTACTTAGATCAAGTCTGTTGTAGTATAATCAGGGGCGGACTGACAACTCATGGGGCCCCCGGCAATAGGCTCTGCCCTCGGGCCCCTTCTCTTCTCCATCTACACCTCCTCCCTTGGCCAACTCATACACTCTCACGGCTTCAACTACCACCTCTATGCCGACGACACACAAATCTATCTCTCAACCCCCCACCTCACCCCCTCAGTCTCTGCCCGAATCACACACCTACTGAGCGACATATCAGACTTCCTTAAACTGAACCTCTCCAAAACCGAGTTTCTTGTCTTCCCCCCAGCCCGGACACCACCCCCCATTGACTTCTCCATCACATCCAAGAACGCCACCATCAAACCCGCCCCGCAGGTCAGAGTACTTGGTGTCATTCTGGACTCCAACCTATCCTTCCAGCCCCAAGTCCAATCTTTAACAAACTCGTGCCGCCTCCACCTCCGCAACATCGCCAAAATCCGCACGTTCCTAACCCCAGAAACCACTAAACAGCTCATCCACTCCCTCATCATATCACGACTCGACTACTGCAACTCCCTCCTCTCTGGCCTGCCTCGCCGCTGGCTATCCCCGCTTCAGTCGATCCTGAATACGGCTGCCAGACTCATTCACCTTTCCAACCGCTCCATCTCCGCCACCCCCCTCTGCCAATCCCTCCACTGGCTTACGATTGCGCAACGGATCAAATTCAAAATCCTAACACTGACGTACAAAGCTGTCCACCATACTGCCCCGAACTACATCACTGACCTAATATCCAAGTACCGCCCAGCACGCACACTCCGCTCCTCTCACAAGACCTCCTTCTCTCTAGTTCCCTGGTCTCCTCCTCCCATGCCCACCTCCAGGACTTCTCTAGGGTGTCACCCATCCTCTGGAACTCCCTGCCCCAACCCATCAGATTATCACCTACTCTCCTCTCCTTTAGACGCACCCTGAAAACCCATCTCTTCAGGGAAGCCTACCCCACCCCCTGATTACTTGCCAACCTCCTCCACTCTTCCTACCACTCCCCCCACATCTTTCTCCTCCTGTACCACCATCCCCCCCCCCCCCTACTAGATTGTAAGCTCGAAAGAGCAGGGCCCTCGATCCCCTCATGTTTTGCATTGTATTGGTATTGTTCTGTCACATGTTCTGTCCCCCTTTGTAATGTACAGCGCTGAGCGAACTATTGGTGCTTTATAAATACTGTATAATAATAATAATAGGGGATCACGGGGCCCCTGTGTCCTTGCCCAAACTCAAAAAAGCCTTTGAAAAAGGTACCAGGTGCATCGCATGGGGCCCCCTACTGACCCCGGGCCCTCGGGCAGTGCCTGAGTTTCCAAAATGGTCAGTCCGCCCCTGAGTATAATGTAATTTATATGCTTGAGATGCAAAAGTTTCATATCATAAGTTACGACAAGTCAAACTGTGAGAGAGCTCTAGGGGTCTACATGGGCCAAGCAAAGGTGTTTCAGCAAAAGAGAAAACGGCACAATGCAGTACTATGCAAACACAACACTATACAAAACTAAACTGGACCACTAAAACCCTCTATAACCTTTACCATGTTAACGTATGTAGAGTTACTCCCAAGGAGACACAGGAATACTGTACAGGTTTTACCCAAATACTTTGCTCCGCAATCAGGCACAAAGGCTCATTCACACATTTCTTCATAGACCTGTCTAGGGGTGTTGTTTTTGTTGTTTTTAAGTTTGGAGAAATTAAATACGGATGGAGAGTTAGGTGGGATATTCCAAAAAACGGAAGCTACTGAATGTACAGTGGAGGGCTTTAAATATTCTTTCGGATAAACTATGACGAAGTCCATGCTTGAAGTAAACAGTAGAATTCAGCTTTAAGGCATCAGTAGTAGTAGTGGTGGTGACTTAAGCAGAGTCCTTTTAGGTAGATAATTAAGTGGGCAAAGCTCTTTGGAACACCAGCTGGTGTCCCTTTTAGCCTAGCCCCCCAGCTGACATCCTAGCACCAGAGGGGGTTAAGTAGCACTCAGTCTTTAAGATCATTTAGGGGAGTTTGTATTCACAAGATCCAAGAGCAGCTGGATGCCTTCCTCTGTGATACCAGGCCATATCTTCATTAACCCCTCGCCTACCGGGCACTTATACCCCCTTCTTTACCAGGCCAATTTTCAGCTTTCAGCGCTGTCGCACTTTGACAATTGCACGGTCATGCAAGATTGTACCCATATGAAAATTTTATCATTTTTTTCTCACAAATAGAGCTTTCTTTTGGTGGTATTTAATCGCCGCTGGGCACTTTACTTTTTGCACTATAAATAAAAAAAATTGCAAAAAATGTGAAAAAAAAATGTCTTTGTTTCTATTATAAAATTTTTCAAACAGGTAATTTTTCTCCTTCACTGATGTGAATTGACGAGGCAGCACTGATGGGCACTGATAGGCAGCACTGAAGGACACTGATAGGCAGCACTGATAGGCAGCACTAATGAGGTGGCACGGATAGGCGGCACTGATAGGCAGCACTAATGAGGTGGCACTGATAGGCGGCACTGATAGGCGACACTGATAGGCGACACTGATGGGTACTGATATCACTGATAGTTGGCACTGACTGGCATCACTGCTGGGCACTGGCAGAACTGCTGGGCACTGACTGACACAACCTCTGGGCACTGACTGGTGGCACTGACTGGCAGCACTGATGGGCACTGGTGGGCACAGGTGGGTGGCATTTCTGGGCACAGGTGGGTGGCACTGCTGGGCACAGGTGGGTGGCACTGCTGGGCACAGCTGGGTGCACTGCTGGGCACAGGTGGGCGGAGCTAGTGGGCGCACTGCTGGGCACAGGTAGGCGGAACTTGTGGGTGGCACTGCTAGGCATTGATAATCAGGGCACTGATCATCAGTGCCCTGATGATCGGTGCTGATCCCTACTCTAACAACTGCGGCAGTTGTTAGCGTGACAGCGTGAGGAAAGTGCAACCAAGAACCGGCAATTGCATTTCCCGGTGATCAGCGTGTCATTGGACATGGCTGATCACGTGGTAAAAGGCCGCTGTGATTGGCCTTTTACCACATCACATGATCAGCTGTGTCCGTAGGACACGGCAATCTTTGAGATCGCCGGGAGTGCATTCTGGGAGGACGTCATGTGATGCCCACCCAGAACTGGCTGACCGCAGTGTAGCCATCATTCGGCTATCTGCGGTCGGCAAGTAGTTAAACGTCCCCTAAGTTAGCTTTGGCAGAACCCAAGTCTCAGCATTCAGGCCAGCAGGTTGCCCACCTGAGGATGCACGGCAGTAGAAGCCTGGGAGGGCAATGTGCCCTCTTCCAGGCTGGAACAATCCTATACAGGAAAGGGCCAGAGTTCAGCGTGCTTACTGAATATACAGTATACAGTTACTCAGCATGCCATCAGAGTCAGTCTCTCTGGGATAGGCTGGGGCTGTAGCAATATTCATGTTGCCATCTACATAGCCCCACACCTATTATCCAGAAACTTCTCAAGCTTTCTGGATGCAGAGGAAGCTATCAGGCTGGCAGCAGCTGAGCAAACTGGGTGGACCCAATTAACAGAACACAGCAATAATGATTACAGTTATGCTTTTACCTACATTCCCACGGTCTACAGTGTGACAACTCAATTTAGCTATCAAAATACAAACTAAATCTATCTAAATCTAACACCAACCTAGGAGGGTGCTACACGTAATCAAAACACATTATTAACTTGTTTATAACTGGACCATTTTTTTTATAGAAGGATTACTAGATATAATTTTGTTGAATGTTCCAGATTTCGAGTGACATCTTCTTGACCCTATCTCTTAATTGACATGCTAAGTAGTCATCACTGAAATACATGTATGTAGACAGTCTTCTTTGTAGAGGAAGTACAGATGATTATTGCTCAATCATTGCATCACCCACCATCTTGTACAAGCTTCTGTTAATTTGGATCTGATGCCCATTTTGTGTGTTCTAGAAAGGCACATTTTCTTTTGAGGAACCTTAGTGAACAAGTTTTCAATATCATCACACCGTTGAATTTTCAAACATCAATAAACATCAAGAGCTACCAGATGGAACAATGGATCAACACCCTGCTAGACTCTTCGTTATTTAGTTGTTATCAATCAATTAATTTAAAGTTTGCTCTCAATCTTGCTATGCCTCATAGACATTGTTGCAGTAGGTTCCTCACTGATCCTTACACATGCTTCTTCATGCCTTTGTGATTTTTGAACGGCACCCCAAAACACCTTGCCAACGAATGTGCATGTACACTGCTCAAAAAAAATTAAAGGGACACTTTGAAAACGCATCAGATCTCAATGGAGAAAAATATCATGCTGGATATCTATACTGATATGGATGGGGTAATGTGTTAGGAACGTAAGGATGCCCCATCATTTGATGGAAATTAAAATGATCAATCTACAGAGGACTGAATTCAAAGACACCCCAAAAATCAAAGTGAAAAAATGATGCAGCAAGCTAGTCCATTTTGCTGAAATGTCATTGCAGCAACTCAGAATGGTACTCAGTAGTTTGTATGGCCCCCACGTGCTTGTATGCATGCTTGACAACGTCGGGGTATGCTCCTAATGAGATGACGGATGATGTCCTGGGGTATTTCCTCCCAGATCTGGACCAGGGCATCACTGAGCTCCTGGATAGTCTGAGGTTCAACCTGGAAGTGGTGGATGGACCAAAACATGATATTCTGGAGGTGTTCTATTGAATTTATATCATATGAGCGTGGGGGCCATTCAATGGTCTGCCTTCATACTATCGCCACATGAGGCCGGGCATTGTCGTCCACCAGGAGGAACCCAGGACCCACTGAACCAGCGTAGGGTCTTACAATAGGTCCAAGGATTTCATCCCGATACCTAATGGCAGTCAGGATGCCATTGTCTAGCCTGTAGAGGTCTGTGCGTCCCTCCAAGGATATGCCTCCCCAGATCATCACTGACTGAGCATAACATTCTACACGGCTTCTCCAGACCCTTTCACGTCTGTCACATGTACTCAGGGTGAACCTGCTCTCATCTATGAAAAGCACAGGGTGCCAGTGGCGGACCTGCCAATTCTGGTGTTCAATGGCAAATGCCAATCGAGCTCTATGGTGCCGGGCAATGAGCCTAGGGCCCACTAGAGGACATCAGGCCCTCAGGCCACCCTCATGAAGTCTGTTTCTGATTGTTTTAGTCAGAGACATTCACACCAGTGTCCTGCTGGAGGTCATTTTGTAGGGCTCTGGCAGTGCTCATCCTGTTCCTCCTTGCACAAAGGAGCAGATACCAGTCCTGCTGATGGGTTAAGGACCTTCTATGGCCCTGTCTAGCTCTCCTAGAGTAACTGCCTGTCTCCTGGAATCTTCTCCATGCTCTTGAGACTGTGCTGGTAGACACAGCAAACCTTCTGGCAATGGCATGTATTGATGTGCCGTCATGGAGGAGTTGGACTAGACCAGGTATTGCCTCATGCTACCAGTAGTGACACTGACCCTAACCAAATGCAAAACTAGTGAAAAAACAGCCAGAAAAGATGAGTAGGGAAAAAAATGTCATTGGCCTCCACCTGTAAAGGCATTCCTGTTTTGGGAGTCATCTCATTGTTTCCCATCTAGTGCACCTGTTGTTAATTCCATTAACACCAAAGCAGATGAAACTGATTAACAACCCCCTCTGCTACTTAACTGATCAGTTCCTCTGTACTGATGTATCAGTCATGGTACTGGGTAATTCCAGTCAAACTAGAATGCCCTCATCTGCTTTGGATCCCTCTGCCATAACATGTATACTTTCCTACAAAATCCTATCCTTGAAGCAATCCTGTCACAAATAAGTCTAGAGGAACCTTGTAAAAGAAACAACATACACAGTATTGATACTGGGGCCAGAGATTGGAACCTCAGGAGCTGAGGTAGCTCTGCAACAAAGAAAAACTACACATCTGTCCCTGACGACAATTTGTCGAAACATGTTGGGCAGGGTCTATTCATTGCAACATCATTTCTGCCTACATCACTTCCTGACTGTGGGACACACACAGGAAGCAAAGAGGAAGTTGGGCCAGTGAGGGCCATCTTGGAACCATGTGGTATAATTGAATGCTAACATTTGTATTTTTAATGTGAGTGCACACTTGGAAATTTTTTCATTTTTACTATTGCAATACAAATTACACTATGGCTTTCCATTTTATTGTGTATTCATGATGGTCAAAATGCATTTGGAGGACTAAACGATGCAAAGATCAGAAGCTGGAAGGAGGTGACCTTGAAAGCTACCTGGAAGGGCAGTGTAAATATTGTGGACCCACTTATTAGGTTAAGAGGGTCATGGAGGTCTAGTGAGTGCATCATTTCAGTGTGAGCACCAACAGAGCATGGAATTTGGGTTTTGGGTAGGAGGTGTTTTGTAGTCCACTATGCACTGTTTGGAGCATATATTGAGATTTAGATGAAGAAGCACTGGATTTTTTTAGTCATTTATTTGTGGTTATATAATTTTATTTAAGTATAAAGGACTTTGAATTCACTTTATGGTTTTTCACTGGATACTTAATGTTAAATGAGTTGATCATTTATCACGAGTTTTTCCATGTTTTACTTTGAATATAAGAGAACAGAATTTATGTTTATAACGGGAACGCAGCATTTTATTGTATTTATCACAAAGATTGGAGTTGCTGGAAGGTATTTTTTCTTCTTCTTTTACAGCAGCACTAGGGTCCTTGGTTCAAATCCCAACCTCGGCACTACCTACTAGTTTGCACATTCTCCCTGTGCCTGCATGAGTTTCCTCCGAATACTCTGGTTTCCTCCCAATACTCCGGTTTCCTCCTACACTCCAAAAACATTCTGGCAGGTTAATTGATTCCTATCTAAATTGGCCCTATTTGTATTTATGTTAGGGACCTTAGATTGTAAGTTCCTTGAGGGCAAGGACTGATGTGAATGTACAGTACTGTATATGTAAAGTGCTGCGTAAATTGACGACCCTATATAAATACCTGTAATAAGTAATACAAATAAATAGAGTGTATGTTTTTATTCTGTATTAGTGACAGGGTCACTTTGAAGAACAGTGGAACCCCTTGTTGGAAAATGCATATGAAGGAAAATATATGTCCAACTGATTAGTTAATCCATATGTCTGCTGAACATATAAACAGATCTCTAGGAAATGAGAGACAGAAGTAAAATATTAGGAAAGCTGTGCTTGGAAAATGAATTCAGGAAATGAAAAATTCACAATTTCTTTTTATAGTGTTCCATTGTACATTTTGTACAAAAATATCATCTGATACATTTACAAAACAGGCCAAAAACCGAAGATGCATTAGTCAAAGATAAAATGTGCTTCATAGGAAAATATACTGTATGTATTAAGGGTTGCTTATCAGAGAAGTTAGCAATCCCTTATACAAATGATCCCGATTCCTGATTCCCTCAGGCTGTAGGCCATCTCTTTATGTTTATTCCATAACTAGATATAAATACAAATTTCAGACATAGGTCTTCATTTGCTACAATGAATTAGTGAATTATTCTAACTACATTTATTGCATTTATTTCATTATACGGCTTGGTTCACATATATGCATTTTGCATTTGATGCTTTCTCCAGTTTCTCTTTGCAGTTTGTTTTGCATTTTTCTACACGCGTTTTTGATGAATTTTGCATTTTGTTCAGTTTTTTTTTTTGTTTAACCACATGCCACCCAGCCACTGTAGAAATACGGCGGCAGGGCGGCACGGCTGGGCAAAAGCATGTTTTAAAACGTGTGTTTTGTAAACAGGTAGGGGGCAAGCCGCCCTACCTGTCCCGCCGATCACAGCCGCGGATGTCAGTCGCCGGGTCACAGCCGGTCGTTACCGGCTATGTCCCGGCGATCGGCGGCAATCGCTGACAGAGAGCACAGCTGCAGTAGCTCTGCTTTCTGTCAGCTCCCTGACAGCTCCTGACACGCTGATCGGGACAGAAGAGTTTCTCTCTCTCGATCAGCGGTGTCCCCTGCAGTACACACCCCCGCCCCCTAGTAAAACACTCCCCTCACACAGTTAACCCTTCCCTGAAAAATAAACTTAACCCCTTCCTTCCCAGTGCCATTAGTACAGTGTCAGTGGTTTTTGTTTTTTTTTTTTGCACTGATCAGTGTATTGGTGTCACTGGGGATGTCAGTGACCCCAAGTCAGTACCCCCCAATGTCAGAATGTCCGCCGCAGTCCCGCCATAAGTCGCTGATCGCCGCCATAAGTCACTGATCGCCGCCATTATTAGTATAAAAAAAAAAAAAAAAATTCCAGTATCTTTCCCGCCATTTGTAATCGCTATAACTTTCACGTAAACCAATTAATTTACATGTATTGGGTTGTTTTTTTTTTTTTAGCAAAGACATGTCGCAGAATGCATTTTGGCAGAAATTTATGACTAAATTTGATTTTTAAATTTTTTTTTACTGGACATGTTTTATAGCAAAAAGTCCAAAATATTGTTTTTTTTCCTAAAAAATTGTCAGGCTTTTTTTTTTTTTATAGCGTAAAAAATAAAAACCGCACAGGCGATCAAATACCACCGAAAGAAAGCTCAATTTGTGGGGAAAAAAAGGATGTAAATTTCATTTATGTACAGTATTGCATGACCGCGCAATTGTCCATTAAACTAGCGCAGCGATGTATAGCAAAAAAATGGCGTAAATTGCAGTATCTATACCATAGTTTGTAGACGCTATAACTTCACACAAAGCAATCAATATACACTTATTGGGATTTTTTTACCAAAAACATGGAGCAGAATACATTTTGGCCTAAATTTATAACCAACTTTTGAGTTTACTATATATTTTTTATAGCTGAAAGTAAAAAATAAAGTTTTTCTTCAAAATCTTTGGCCTTTTTTTTTGTTTATAGCGTGAAAAATAAAAAGTGCATAGATGATCAAATACCACCGAAAGAAAGCTCTATTTGTGTGAAAAAAAGGACGTAAATTTCGTTTGGGTGCAGCATTGCATGACCGCGCAATTATCAGTTGAATTAGTGCAGCGCCGAGTAGCAAAAAGAGGCGTGGTCATTAAGGGGGAAAAATCCTCAGGAAAGCAAGTGGTTAAGTAGAATTTTTTTTTTTTTTTTGCTGCTGGGCAGAATAAAAATGCGAAATGCGGCAAAAATACATTACCATGCATTTGAGCAGCTTTTCCATTGAACTCTTTTAAAAGCAAAAAGCAGCGTTTTTGCTACAATAAAGTCCCTGACCCTTTCCAAAAATGCGGCAGCTCAAAAAAAGCATAGATGTGAACATGTTCCATAGGAAAGCATGTTAAATGGACTGTACTGCATTTCTGCAAAAAGCACTAAAAAATGCATTGGTGTGAACGGAGCCTAATTAAATTTAATAATAATTAATTCACAAATATGTAAATATCATTTAGAAATGGGATTGTTAGTTTTCTTCATTACATGTAAATTTAAATTAGATGCAAACTCAATCACTAAAATTGAAAAAATGTAATCTACTTTTGAACTCTTGAGCTTGTTAATGTTATTTTAAGTCAACTTTCAATTTTTCATTTTCCTTTTCTTTTTTATTTCTTTTGCAGCTTTTATTAAAAATACCTGCTTATCCTGCTATAAAGGTCATTTGTCGGGCACTTCAGTTTATAGGTTAACAATGCTGTGTCTCCGAAATGAGCTTCATCCCTAACACACTTTCATATGTGTTTCCAGGGAGGACCATAAGTGATATTGCCAAACACACTTCACATGTTTTAATGTTGTCACCAGACAAATAAACACACAGAGACCATGAAAAAAGCCTTTTAATAAAATGTTCTTTATAAAAATGTAATTAATATCCATTGGTGTAAATCCATCAATAATGTTGTCCGTCGATGAAGATCCATTATCAACCACAACAACCTTCCAATGTTTCAAACACTGCCACAAAATACAGAGTCAATGATGTTAGCCAGTATCTTTGGCCAGTTTGTTTGCAAACAGCAGACAGGGATCAGTCATTTATTAGCAGCTATATGGTGTGGCAATATCGTTGGATGATGGGTCATGGTGACAATAAATCTACATTGCTGACAATTTACCTGACAATGGATTTACATTGGAGAACATTTATTACATTTTTGTATATTAAAGGACTTTGTCACATTGTAAGGGTGTTTATATTTCTGCTCTCTCCTGGCTCTCATCCTACCTGTCACAACGCTCTTTCAGCGTTACCTATAATGCTACCACCTCCCCCTCACTCCCCCTCTCTGTTGGGGTCCCTCAAGGCTCTGTCCTCAGGCCCCTTCTCTTCTCCATCTACACCTCCTCCCTTGGCCAACTCATACACTCTCACGGCTTCAACTACCATCTCTATGCCGACGACACACAAATCTATCTCTCAACCCCCCACCTCACCCCCTCGGTCTCCGCCCGAATCACACACCTACTGAGCGACATATCAGACTGGATGTCGCTCCACTTCCTTAAACTGAACCTGAGACCGAGTTTCTTGTCTTTTCCCCCAGCCCAGACACCACCTCCCCACTGACTTCTTCATCACATCCAAGAACGCCACCATCAAACCCGCCCCGCAGGCCAGAGTACTTGGTGTCATTCTGGACTCCAACCTATCCTTCCAGCCCCAAGTCCAATCTTTAACAAACTCGTGCAGACTCCACCTCCGCAACATGCAGACTCCACCTCCGCAACATCGCCAAAATCCGCACGTTCCTAACCCCAGAAACCACTAAACAGCTCATCCACTCCCTCATCATATCACGACTCGACTACTGCAACTCCCTCCTCACTGGCCTGCCTCGCCGCTGGCTATCCCCGCTTTAGTCCATCCTGAATACGGCTGCCAGACTCATTCACCTTTCCAACCGCTCCGTTTCCACCTCCCCCCCCCCCCCCTGCCAATCCCTCCACTGGCTTCCGATTGCGCAATGGATCAAATTCAAAATCCTAACACTGAGGTACAAAGCCATCCACCATACTGCCCCGAACTACATCACTGGCCTAATATCCAAGTACCACCCAACACGCACACTCCGCTCCTCACAAGACCTCCTTCTCTCTAGTTCCCTGGTCTCCTCCTCCCATGCCCGCCTCCAGGACTTCTCCAGGGTGTCACCCATCCTCTGGAACTCCCTGCCCCAACCCATCAGATTATCACCTACTCTCCTCTCCTTTAGGTGCACCCTGAAAACCCATCTCTTCAGGGAAGCCTACCCCACCCCCTGCTAACCTGCCGACCTCCTCCACTCTTCCTACCACCCCATCCCCCACAGCTATCTCCTCTTGTACCACCATCCCCTCCCTCCTAGATTGTAAGCTGGAAAGAGCAGGGCCCTCGATCCCCTCATGTTTTGCATTGTATTGTTATTGTTCTGTCACATGTTCTGTCCCCCTTTGTAATGTACAGCGAACTGTTGGCGCTTTATAAATACTGTATAATAATAATAATATTTACATTTAACTCTTTGTGAAAATGGGTATGGAGTAATACTACCCTGTACTCATTCCCCTCTGGGGGGGGGGGGGGTTGGATATCTGGGGATCTCTATAATTCCCCTCCTAACCCTCACATCCTATTGGAACAAGAAGTGGAAAAGATGTGCATGTCCCATAACTTTGGGACAAGGTGCCTTGCAAGATTGGTAGAATTGGCCACCCCTCTCCCCTTGCAAGGTATCCTCCAGTGTTAAAAGTCATTTGACCTGGTATGGCAGTGAGTGTGCCCCCTTCCCGGCCATCACAAGCTGCATGCCTACTTGAGGGTATGGTTTGAATCATAAGGGGAACTACACAGCATTTTTACTCTTTTTAAATACCACTTAAAGGACTACATCCTGCCATTCTGTAACTTCACATACAGCTTTAAACCATCCCCCAAGCTTTTTAACCCCTTGCCTACCAGGCACTTATACCCCCTTCTTTACCAGGCCAATTTTCAGCTTTCAGCGCTGTCGCACTTTAATAATTGCGCAGTCATGCAAGATTGTACCCATATGAAATTTTTATCATTTTTGTTCTCACAAATACAGCTTTCTTTTGGTGGTATTTAATTGCCGCTGGGCGCTTTACTTTTTGCGCTATAAACAAAAAAGTGCAAAAAAATTTGAAAAAAAAAAAAAAAGTTTCTTTGTTTCTATTATAAAATTTTTCAAACAGGTAATTTTTCTCCTTCACTGATGTGCGTTGATGGGGCAGCACTGATAGGCAGCACTAATGAGGTGGCACAGATAGGCAGCACTGATAGGCAGCACTAATGAGGTGGCACAGATAGGCGGGCACCGATAGGCAGCACTAATAAGGTGGCACGGATAGGCGGCACTGATGATGGGTACTGATAGACAGCACTGATAGGTGGCACTGACTGGCATCACTGCTGGGCACTGACTGGCACAACCGCTGGGCACTGACTGGTGGCACTGACTGGCAGCACTGCTGGACTGCACTGCTGGGCACTGGTGGGTGGCACTGGTGGTGGTGGCACTGGTGGGTGGGCACAGGTAGGTGGCACTTCTGGACACAGGTTCGTGTGACACTGCTGGGCACAGGTGGGCGGAGCTAGTGGGCGCACTGCTGGGCACAGGTGGGCGGAAACTTGTGGGTGGCACTGCTGGGCACCGATCATCAGGGCACTGATCATCAGTGCCCTGATGATCGGTGCCGATCCCCGCTCTGACAACTGCCGGTTCTCGGCAGTACTTTCCTCACGATCTGACAGCGTGAGGAAAGTGCAGCCGAGAACCGGCATTTGCATTTCCCTGTGATCAGCGTGTCATTGGACACGGCTGATCACGTGGTAAAAGGTCGCTGTGATTAGCCTTTTACCACATCACGTGATCAGCTGTGTCCGTAGGACACAGCGATCACGGAGATCACAGAGATGGCCGGCCGCAGTGTCGCCGTCATTCGGCTATCTGCGGTCAGCAAGTAGTTAATTAAAGGATTTGTGTATTTTTAATGTTGCCTTGTGCTCTGTATTTTCTTTAGCTGCACTAATTGTCAGTGTGGTTGCAAAATATTCCTGGAGATACAGTATAATCAGATTGTAAAGTCCCACATGCCCGGTTTCAGGCAGGAGAGTAGAACAACCCTTCCCCTCTCTTAAAGCGGAGCTCCAGTCAAAATGAAAAAAACAAAAGACAGCAGCTACAAAAACTGACCCCCACCTGTCTCTCAATCCTACAGTGTCCTCACTCCGCTGCTGTGTCCCCTGAATCGGCATCTTCAGTGTCGGCACCAGGCTGTGACAGCTTGCGGCTTCCTAGCCGGGTGCCCACTGCGCATGTGCGAGTAGCGCTGTGCTTCATGAATGGTCCGGTAGTCCTCTGGGACCTGTTACGTGTCTTAGAAGACTGCTGGGAGGGATCACAGCGGAAGTGGGAGCGGGTATCTGTCAAATTTGGGTACTCCCACCCCCCCCCCAACTCACCAAAGGTACCAATGATTAACAGGGAGTGGGGGACTAAGCCTTGAAGCAGAACTTACTCTTTTTGGTGGAGCTCCTCTTGAAGTATCTGCTCCATCTCTGCCTCTTTCTACCGTTTCTTCCTCCTCTCTCCACATCCATCCCCCCCCCCTTTTTTTTACGTTTCCATGACTCTCATTATTGTAGACTCCATCTCAGTTATCAAGAAATTCTATTGAATGTGTCCTAGATGTGATATTGTACATTTATTGAACGATGTACCTTACCCCTTGTTGAAGAATCTTGTATGATACTATGTAGCCACTTTATATTCTTTTTTTCTTTTCTTTTAATTTTATGATTATATTTCTTATTTTTGTTTTGATGAAAAAATTTGTAAAATTCTCAATAAATACAGTGCTGTATTTAGGTTTTGTGCTGCCCTAGGCAACACAAAAATCGTCTGCCCCCACACAATATTATATTCTATTATATGCATTCATGCAATCCATTGTATACTAGTGCCTAGCTGTGAATGGTCACAGCAGGTCACATGCACATGCCATGTGATTATCTGTGGCCAAATCACAGCTAAGCACAAAAAAAAAAAAAAAAAAACCCTGAATGAATTGATGTCATTCAGGTAAATGCTTGCTTATAGCAAAGTAATTCTTTGCTATAAGCAAATTGTGTAAAAAAAAAAAACAAAAAAAACAAATACTGATCACTTCCCCAAAGTAGTACAATGTTACTATGTTAACATTGTACTACTTTGGTCATAGTAAAATATGAAAAACAAAATCTTAAAAATAAAAAACAAATATAATAAAAAATTAAAAATAATAACAAAAAATATAAAAAATATATATATTTTTTTTTTTTTCATACTGTCACCAGTCAGTGTCCCTGTTCACCGCCATGCCAGTTATATGATGATGCTGTACTGCACTGGTGACAGTATGTAAAAAAAAAAAAACAATAGTGAAAATAATTTTTTTTAATTTTTTCATTTTCCAAAAAATTATGAAAAAAAAAATACAACTTCAAAAAACTCGCCATGCCTCTTATGAAGTACGTCGGACTGTCTACTTTGCAAAAAGGGGTCATTTGGGGGATATCTGTACTATTCTGACATTCTTGGACCTCAAGAAATTAGATTGGCTGTCAGTACTTCAGGATTGATCAATATTCAGATCTATACCATAGTTTGTGAACTCTATAACTTTCCTACAAACTAAAAAATACATCCTAATTTGGGTTATTTTCCCCAAAGACATGTAGCAAAATACATCTCGGCCTAAATTTCTGAAGAATAATTATTTATTTGTAAACTTTTATAACAGAAACAAAGAAAAACGTGGTTTTTCTTTTTCAAACTTTTTGGTCTTTTTTTTTTGTTAATTTAGCAAAAAATAAAGACCCCAGCGGTGATTAAATATCACCAAAAGAAAGCTCTAGTTGTGTGAAGAAAATGATAAAATTTTAGTTTGGGTACAATGTTGTATGACCGCGCAATTGTCATTCAAAGTGTGAGAGCGCTGAAACCTGAAAAATGGCCTGGGCAGGAAGGTGTAAAATTGCCCGGTATTGAAACGGTTAAAGCCCAACCTGTTTCTTTGCCCTACATGAGATAAAACACAGGAATGCTCTAAAGTACAAATGTTCACGTAGGTCAAAGGAAAAAAAAAGCCCACAGCTGCATTTTTATTCTTCATCACTTCCAAGAGAATTTCAGCTATATCTGCAGTTTTCTTAGCAGCTGCAGTAGGGATATGTGGGACCTCTCCTATAGTACAATGAACTTACTTCTTCATTGGATTCTATGTAGTAAGCAAAAACATTTTCTCTTTACTTAAGAAATGTATTGCTAAAAAACACATCCAAGGCTACTGTTAAGCGCGGGATTACACGCATTTTAAACATTGAGACTTATAGAAAATAAGTTATGTTCTCTGGACAGAATTCAGAAAAGGATTATGGCTTCAAAGTTTAATCAAAGCTTCCTCAAAACTCTCTTCCTGTACTCTAGCCAGTCGAAGTCAACTCCTTCTCAATGCTATCTGTTACCCATAGAAGAATATCATGTAAAAATATAAGGTTACATATCCCAATAATACTGAGATTACACACAACTGTGCAGCAGCCCTGACAGTCCCTGAGCTTTGATGTATAAAGATATACAGAGTTTTCTATCTACTTGGGGGTTGCAATATCTGAAAGCTTAGGAAACATTGTATAAGTATCAAAGATCCTCATCATCTCACGCCTGGACTACTGCAACTCCCTCCTCACTGGCCTACCCAAACACAGGCTATCCCCGCTTCAGTCTATCCTGAACTCAGCGGGGAGACTCATCCACCTCACCAACCGCTCCACATCCGCCACCCCCCTCTGCCAATCCCTTCACTGGCTCCCGATTGCCCAACGCATCAAATTCAAACTGCTAACTCTGACCTACAAAGCCATTCACAATGCCGCCCCAAACTACCTCACTGACCTGATACCCAAAATACCACCCAACCCGTGCCCTTCGCTCCTCACAGGACCTCCTACTTTCTAGCTCCCTGGTCTCCTCCTCCCACGCCCAATTGCAGGACTTCTTCAGGACTTCCCCATCTTCTGAAATTCCCTACCCCAATCCATCAGACTGTCACCTACCCTCCTCACCTTCAGGCGCACCCTGAAAACCCACCTTTTCAGGGAAGCCTACCCCACCCTCACCTAACAACTGACCTCCTCCACTCCTCCCACCACTCCATCTCCCACAGCCATTTCCTCGTGTACCACTTTCCACTCCCTCCTAGATTGTAAGCTCAAAAAAAAGCAGGGCCCTCGAACCCCTCGTGTATTGTATTGTTACTGTCTTGTCTCATGTTCTGTCCCCCTCGCTACTGTACAGCGCTGAGCAAACCCTTCGGCGCTATATAAATACTGTATAATAATAATCCTTCATAATAGAGCAAAACATTTTAAAGCTGAACTCCAGGTAGTTAACCGCATGCCGCCCAGCCACTGTACATATACAGCGGCAGGGCGACACTCACAGGCAAGACCACGTTTTAAGACGTGTGTTTTGTAAACAAATAGGGGGGTGCGCGAGGCGCGTCGCCGCCCTATTTGTCCCGCGGTTCTCTGCCGCAGATGTCAGTCGCCGGGTCACAGCCGCTCCTTAGCTGACAGCTCGAGGATGAGCTGATCGAGAAAGAACAGTTTTTCTTTCTCGATCAGCCTTGTCCCGCCCAGTACACCCCCCCCCCCCCTAGTAAAACACTCCCCTCACTCCTATAACCCTTCCCTGCAAAATAAAGTTAACCCCTTCCTCCCCAGTGCCATTAGTACAGTGTCAGTTTTTTTTTTATTTGCACTGATCACTGTATTAGTGTTTTTGGGGATGTCAGTGACCCCAAGTCAGTACCCCCCAATGTCAAAATGTCCGCCGCAGTCCCGCCATAAGTCGCTGGTCGCTGCCATAAGTCCCTGATCGCCGCCATAATTCGCTGATCGCCGCCATTATCAGTATAAAAAAACCGCTAAAAATCCCAGTATCTTTCCCGCCATTTGTAAACGCTATACCTTTCACGTAAACCAATTAATTTACACGTATTGGGTTTTTTTTTTAGCAAAGACATGTCGCAAAATGCATTTTGGCAGAAATTTATGACTAAATTTGATTTTTGCATTTTTTTTTGCTGGACATGTTTTATAGCAAAAAGTACAAAATATTGTTTTTTTTTCCTCAAAATTGTCAGCCTTTTTTTTTTTTTATAGCGCAAAAAATAAAAACCGCACAGGCGATCAAATACCACCGAAAGAAAGCTCAATTTGTGGGAAAAAAAAGGATGTAAATTTCATTTATGTACCGTATTGCATGACCGCGCAATTGTCCGTTAAACTAGCGCAGCGCTGTATAGCAAAAAAATGGCGTAAATTGCAGTATCTATACTATAGTTTGTAGATGCTATAACTTCCACACAAAGCAATCAATATACACTTATTGGGATTTTTTTTACCAAAAACATGGAGCAGAATACATTTTGGCCTAAATTTATAATTAACTTTGAGTTTACTATATATTTTTTATAGCTGAAAATAAAAAATATTGTTTTTCTTCAAAATTTTTTGCCTTTTTTTGTTTATAGCGTGAAAAATAAAAAGCGCACAGGTGATCAAATACCACCGAAAGAAAGCTCTATTTGTGTGAAAAAAAGGACGTAAAATTTCGTTTGGGGGTGCAGCATTGCACGACCGCGCAATTATCAGTTGAATTAGTGCAGCGCCAAACAGCAAAAAGAGGCGTGGTCATTAAGGGGGGTAAATCCTCTGGAGGTCAAGTGGTTAAAAAAACATTT